TTTTTTTTTTTTTAAAGCTGAATGATTGAAAAAAAGTTGCGAAACCAGAAGAAATCAACTATACCAGATAAAACAGAACACATAAATACAGTAGAATGTTCTCAACTAGTTCTTGGAAGTATGTCAATGTAATAAGCAAATTCAAGTCAGATGGTAAGAGAATTAGAAATAGGAAGTGGTGGCTCGGTGCCTGTAGCTCAAGTGGCTTGGGTGCCAGCCACATACACCAGAGCTGGCGGGTTGGAATCCAGCCCTGGCCTACCAAACAACAATGACAACTACAACCAAAAAATAGCCAGGTGTTGTGGCGGGCAGCTGTAGTCCTAGCTACTTAGGTGGCTGAGGCAAGAGAATCACTTAAGCCCAGGAATTGGAGGTTGCTGTGAGCACTCTACCCAGGGTGACAGCTCAAGGCTGTCTCAAAAAAAAAAATGCTTCTTGAGTAACTTTGGTGAAAACAACAAAAGAGAAATAAAAAGAGAGCTTGACACTGGCCACGTACACGGGTGCTGGCGGGTTTGAATCCAACCTGGGCCTGCCAAACAACAATAACAACTACAACCAAAAAACAGCCAGGTGTTGTGGCAGGTGCCTGTAGTCCCAGCCTTGGGAGGCTGAGGCAAGAGAATTGCTTAAGTCCAAAAGTTTAAGGTTGCTGTGAGCTGTGATGCCATGGCCCTCTACCAAGGGCTACAAAGTGAGACTGTCTCAAAAATCACTTGAGCCCAGGAGTCGGAGGTTGCAGTGAGCTATAATCAGGCCCCTGCACTCCAGCATGGGCAATAGAGAAAGACCTTGTCTCAAGGAAAAAAAGAACAAGAAGGAATTTGAAAAGGACATAAGGACCTTTAGAGGAGGTGAAACCAAATACTGATTAAGAATACTATGGGGCAGCGCCTGTGGCTCAGTGAGTAGGGTGCTGGCCCCCAGCCAAACTGCAACAAAAAAATAGCCGGGCATCCTGGTGGGCGCCTGTAGTCCCAGCTACTTGGGAGGCGGAGGCAGGAAAATCGCTTGAGCCCAGGAGTTGGAGGTTGCTGTGAGCTGTGTGACGCCACGGCACACTACCAAGGGTGATAAAGTGAGATTCTGTCTCTATAAAAGAAAAAAAAGAATATTATGTATTTATATGCTATAAATTAAAAATTTAGATGAAAGATGTAATTCCCCCCAAATAACAATATAACTAGAAAATTTTAATGGGCCAATTTCTGGGAAAGAAACTGAAAAAACTTATAAAAAATTACCTTTAGGCTGGTGCAGTGGCTTACGCCTGTAATCCTAGCACTCTGGGAGGCCAAGGCAGGTAGATTGATAGCTTGAGTTCATGAGTTCGAGACCAAGAGGTGATGAAGTTTTTTAGTAGCGAGGAAGAAAGAAGAAGGGAGAAGTCCTAGGAGAGAAAGCTTTGGTGCCCTGGGGAGATGTCTGGATTCAGGCCCTGCATCTGCTGCTTACTGGTGACACTGAGCACATACATCCCATTACCTCCCTAGACCTCAGTTTTCTCCTCTGTAAAATCGACAAATCAGGACAGATGACCCCTAAGGTTTTTCCACTTCTAGAACTCTGTGACACTCTTTCATGCATTTGTGATGGAATAATTGACGTCACTGTCTCAGTTGGGTATGAGAAGGTGAGCAGGTGGAGAAGTTCAGGCACCTCAAAACTCTGAGGCTGAGGAAAAAATGATGCTCTTAGAAATGGGGAGATACCAGAAAGAAGTAAGTTGAAGAGTTCTGTGCTACCTTTAAAAACCAAGGGGACTCCAGCAGCTGGACAGGAGACAGATCCCTGCCAGTTCTACTTAGACTTTCCAAGGGACTCTGCAGCGTTTTTCATTAGTTCCTTTCATTGTTTTCTTTTCTTTCCTTCCTTTTTTTTTTTTGAGACAGGCTCACTGTTTCGCCCTGGGTAGAGAGCTGTGGCATCACAGCTCACAGCAACCTCAAACTCTTGGGCTCAAGTGATCTTCTTGCCTCAGCCTCCTCCGTAACTGGGACTAAAGGTGCCCACCACAACACTTGGCTATTTTTAGAGACAGGGGTCTTGCTCTGGCTCAGGCTGCTTACTAGTGTGTTTTGTGTACATTTTAATGAAGTAAGTGATGTGTATTAATTAAATCTAAATGAGCCAGAATGCATCAAGTTGCTTTGAGCAGTTTCAACTATCCCTCCTGAGGATGTCACACTTGGTGAAATTAGCTAGGCACAGAAAGACAAATGCTGTATAATCTCATTTATATGTGGCGTCTGAAAAAATTGAACTCAGAAGAGAGTAGAATGGTGGTTGCCAGGAGCTGGGGATAGGGAGGAATAAGGAGATACAGGTCAAAGGGTATGATTTCAGTTTCATGAGTAAATTCTGGAGATCTGTCACACAGCATGCTGACTATGGTTAGTAATAATGAATTGTACACTTGAAAATTGCTAACAGAGTAGATCCACACACACACAAATAACTGTGCCTTAGGGGTATGTTGACTAGGTTGATTATGGTTCATTGCATGATACATCACATGTAGGGTGGTGCCTGTGGCTCAGTGGGTAGGGCATCAGCCCCATATACTGAGGGTGGAGGGTTTAAACCCGCCCCAGCCAAACTGCAACAACAAAAAAATAGTCGGGTGTTGTGGTGGGCTCCTGTAGTCCTAGCTGCTCGGGAGGCTGAGGCAAGAGAATCACCTAAGCCCAGGATTTGGAGGTTGCTGTGAAATTTGAAAAAATTATCAGTGATTTAAAAATAATAATCCATCTTGGGAGGTCTGCCTTTGGGAGTAAAGCCTGGTACTTGAATTTTTAGAGCTTTTTCCTGTATGTTTTATGTATTTTTCTTTAGAAAATTTTTTTACTTTTAATTATTATGCTACATAATGGTTTTATATCTTTATAGGGTACATGTGGTATTTTGATACAGGCATAAAATGTGAATTAATCAAATCAGACTAATTGGGGTATCAACCGTGATCCAGCATTTAACATTTCTTTGTGTATTTTGCGTGTTTTAAATTTGTACTTCTTTCTTTCTTTCTTTCTTT